AAAGTGCTGGGATTATAGGTTTGAGCCACCGCACCTGGCCTATTAAAATAATTCTAAAACACATTCTTAGAGTTTTGTTAAAATTATTTATTTTGTAATGGTTACATCCTCCTTTGCTACCTTGATAGTAAATGGCAGTGCATCTAGAGTATAGAAGTGTACTGACTAGTACACTTCTATCCAAATTTGTAATTTCCATGGTGCAAAACAAAGCTTTTCTATTTTAATGTAAGTTGTATTATCGCCAACTTTTTTTCGAAAAGTTTTCCAAAAACAAACTAGCCTTGAAGGATCATTTGAAATTTTTTTCTGGGACTTTTCTTCTTGTGTCTTTATGGTTTATCTACTTAATATATTTTATACAGTACCTTTGAGTTAGTTTATTATCAAGTAGGTACTTCTAAAACTACAGTGGCATAAGGTGAACTATGTTAATATGTAGAAGGAACCGACAGTTGGTGACAAATGGCGGTTGATCCTTTTTATAATAAGGAGATTGGAAAATGATCTCCTTATAAGATAAGGGTATTAGGTTAAGTGACCCCTAATGTCTAGCTCCAAAATTGTGTGTTCTGTTAAATGGTCCTGTGTTGATGACGATAAATTAAGTGGAATGGTTGAACATCTCTCACATTTTTTCTTTTTTTTTAAAACCCCGTAGTTCACAATTTATCTTTCAAATGAACCTTGTTACTTGCATTTACTATAAAATATAGAATTACTATAATTAAGGTGGGTAATTAGGAAGAACTTGCCAAATCATGGACATAGCATGTGGTATACTGGAGATAAATTGGCCTGATTTATAGTAATACTTTCTAAAATGAGTTTCTGAATACTTGAGCAGATTTTTCTTGATTTGGTATACTTTAAAGAGAAGATTGTTAAATTTTACCGACAACCATTTATGGATAATTTTACCTTATTCTTTAAAACATCATCTTCTTTCTGCTAATGGAGTTAAACTTAAAAATTTTTCTTGTTTCTTGGACCCCATCATATTAAATTAGACCCTGCAGGTGCTGGTCAGGTTTTGTGAAACATATTGGTGTTGGTGACATTTAAAAAATACTTTGATTACGCTTTTATAACACCACAATTTCTGTTTTCTGGTTTAGAGAATGATGCCGGTCTTTCTGTATGTGGTGTTTCATATATGCTATGACTTTTTAAATAATAGATGAAGATGAGTGTTTGAATAGCTGTGTTGCTGTTGTTTTTTAAAGTAGAACTAAATACTTCTTAACTTAGAAAATAATCATTCTTCAGTGAAGGCGTTAATGTTGCACAGATGGTAGCAAAGTACTTTCCTTTGATTTTTAATAAGGGACTAGTTTGTCAAAGAGATTTCTCAACTTCTGTTGTGAAACCTATAATAGGGAATAATGTGAAAGGCATACAATATACATCATTATAATCCTTTGATGTAGATTAATGATAGCTAACTCAACATTTTCTAATTGCCTCTCTTTTCTATAGTTTATGATTAATTTAAGAAAAAAATTGGCCAAGCAGCTTCTTAGTAACATGTGCATCTCTGTTCTCTATATTTCGGTGTATTCTGAAATACTTAAATTCAGAGAATAGAATTCCTTTAAATGCTATCATTAAGAAATTTACTGTGTAGAGGAAGGACCAGTATTTTTCTTCATGGAATGGGTATGATGATTTATCACACTGAGAAGCATTCACCCGTTAAAAACTGTCGTAGTTGTTAATAGTATAATTTATATTCCAGCAGTAGTGTTGTTTTTGCTTTTTACATTTTTATCTTAGATATACTACATAAAAATCAGAATGTACAATCATGCTGTTGTGACCCTTGCTTGGTAATGTCTAGAAACATAAAATCTTCTTGAGTAAAGTTATTATTACTGGATGAGTAGTAAAATTGTGTACCTACCAATTACATGAATATGTCACTCTCTTCATTTATTCCTTTATAAGTTAGAAAATGTGTACACTTGAGTGTAAACTTTGTTGTCTTTTTAGATTTGGGTTTTTTTTAAAGTTGGTTGAAAGTATTACTTCTGCATACAAGCCCCGTTTTCCTCTTAATGCTCGGTTCTGCATTTTTAAGGTTTTACATTGAGAACCTCAGGATTTGACTTAGTTTTCATTGCAAATGTCATCATCTATGTAAAATAAATTTTAAAAAACTCAAATACAAGTTTTTACAGACTACTCGAGGATTAACCTTTAAGTTTTTGTAGTCCTGCATCTTTCTTAAAAAGTAACCCTGGTAACATTTCATTTTGACCTTTCCTCTAGACTTGAGATTTTATCAGAAATGGCTTGGTTTTGAAATCTGCTTATCACTGCAAAGAAAATACCTCGTTGAATGTAGATGTAAAATCTCTGTGTGAATGGATACCGCATTCTGATGTTTTGATTTCCAAAATCCTGTCTTAATAACACTCTGTAGAGCAGGTGATGTTCAGTTATGACATAAAAAGGCGAACGTAGGAGGGTCTGCCTTTACTCAGATATACACTCCTGCTTCCAGCTAAGATGATCGATTTGCTGCCTTTTCATTCTAATGCTTTCATTTCACCAGGAGGAAGTGGTGGCTACTCTTTGGAGCAGAACTCTTAACAGAATTATTTTGCTAGGCAGTTATATCTGAAGTGTGTAGAGTTAACTACTGATTATTTTCAAAACCCACTGTTTCCCATTTCTTCTTACCTGTTTCAGGTGCTGTCTTTTCCCTGGTAGATATATTTATAAAGTTAGGACTTCCGTACTCAAGAAATAATAAGGTGAAAGAATAGGCAGAAGAAGCAACTTTAAGCTTTAGAGAATTGAGATTTTAGTTAACGTATCTTCTGGTGTATTAACAATTTTAAGCTGATAAAATCATAAAACAGTGTTCTGTGTGAATGCAGAAAGACTAGAAAGAAGTAAAAAAAAATTGATAACATGCTTTTCTCTTGCTAATAGACATGAGAATATTGAAAATAAATTTATTTCCCAAAACAGTAAGAAAAGTAGAATTAAAGTTTTGTATCTCTTAAGTATTAAAAGTTTTCAAGAATAAGCATCATTTGAAGATTATATTGAACACCTTAATACCATCAGACATTGACTTCCTGTATGGTGGCTGCTGTTAGTCCACGGGAATCAGGTGGACTAGTGACCACTTGTTTTCTTCTAAAAGTTCTTTATGTTTAGAACACTGTTCCAGCAACATTTTTCTTTGGCTTTAAAAAAAAAAAAATTTTTGATTTGGAGTCTCTCTCTGTTGCCCAGGCTGGAGTGCAGTGGCATGCTCACAGCCACCACAGCCTCAGCCTTCCAAGCAGCTGGAACTACAGGCACATCCTACCACGCCCTGGTGATTTCTTGATTTATTTTAGAGGCGAGGTCTCACCAAGTTGCCTAGGCTGGTCTCAAACCCTGGACTCAGGTAATCCTCTCACCTCTGTCTCCCAAAGTGCTAGGATTACAGGCGTGAGCCACCGCACCTGGCCTTCTTTGGCTTTATAATGTAAGAAAGGTTTTACGTGGAGTTCTTTCAGAATGAGGAGTGACTTCTCAGGAGGAAAACAATTTAGGTCATTTTCCTTTTCTTTTTTTGTACCAGAAAAAAATAAAACATTTTCCGAGTGGCCTAGTTGATCAGAGGGCATTGTCTATGTTACTTTAGAGAATGTATATCAGTTGGTGTGAAATCGCTTGCTAATCTTTTTTTTTTTTTTTTCCAGTTTTCCTGCCTTTCCTGTGGTCTTTTGGTTTTTGTACTTGAAACGACCTCTTGATCCTCCAGTTTGTGTGGAGGGATAGTGCACCTGGTTAGAAATTAGGAGTCTCCTTCTGTCTGCCCCATCTATCTTTTCCTTTTAACTTTAGTTCCTCATTTTTAACGTGAGAGAATTGGACTAGAAGAACTCTGATTTTTTTCTTCTGGGTCATGAATGTGGTGTATTTCTCCATTTGTGCAGAACTTCTTTCATAAGTGTTTTTCAATTTTCAGCAGACAGAACCTGTACATATTTCATTAAATTTATATTTAAGTATTTTATGTTTGGGGGGAAGTACTCTTATACATAGTGTTTTTAACTTCCAGTTTACATTTGTTTGTAGCTAATTTATAGAAATATATTTGAAATTGAATTTGGTGTATTGACCTTTTGATCTATGACCTTGCCTGAGTCACTTTTCAGTTTTAGTAACTGAAGAAAATTTTTTTGAGTTATTGTACATAATCAAGTCCTCTGTGAATAGATACAGTTTTATACCTTCCATTCCAGTCTGTATACCTTTTGTGTATTTTTCTTACCTTGTTATGCTGGCTAGGACTTCCGATATGATGTTGACTAGGAGTGGTGAGAGCAGACGTCTTTGCCTTGTTCCTGATAAGAGGAACAAGATCTAGTTCCAGTCTTTCACTAGCAAACACGATACTAGCCATGTGAATTTTTGTGCATGCCCTTCATCAACTTGAGGATGTTCCTTCAATTTCAGATTTGCTGAGTCTTTTAAAAAAATGAATTTGTCAAATGTTTTTTTCTGTATCTGTAAAGATCGCATGGTTTCCCTTTAGGTGGCTGATATATTTAATTATAGTGATTGATTTTCAAATGTCTTTTAAAAAATTAAGCACCAGTGAATAAGTCTGCTTATTAAATCCTATATGTTCCTTTCTCTTTTTTTTTCTTTGTTTTTGAGTATCATTTTTCTCCATAGCTCTTACCACCATTTGATATACTTTGGATTTTACTTATTTGTATATCCTATCTGCTCTCAGTGGGATATAAGATCCGTTCTCTGCTATATCTCTAGTCTCTAGAACATTGTCTGGCACAAAGTAGGATTCAGCAAATATTTGCTGAATGAGTGAATATCTGTTTGCTCTCAAAGAGTTTGTACTCTAGCTCCTGAGAAAGTGGTACACAAATAAAAAGTAGTATATTTTAGGAGAACTATGAACAAAATTCTTTGGAGATTCAAGGTGGGTGAGATTAAATTCATGTAACATTTATTTTCTTGTTTTCTATTAGATTTGAAAGAAGATACACCAAGAACACGTTTATTTAATAATGCAACCAATAAGAAGAATTCAATAAAAATGTGGTTTAGTCCTCGAAGGAAGAAGTTCAGATATATCGTGAGTAAAGTTTCAGTGCAAACCCGACCTCAAATAATAAAAGATGTGAAGGCTCAGCAGGCCTCAACATATGAATTTGTTTCCTCAAGTCCTTTAGTAGACGTGACTGAGAGGCCTAGAAAAGCTTCTACAAGATCTGGAAAAGAGCAAAAAAAGAAATCTCTCGCTTCCGCAAAATTTGGAAAAAAGCAAAACAAGACAACTTTAGCTGAAATTAACCAGAAATGGAATTCAGAAGTAGAAGATGGTGAACTTAACTCCAAAGAGGAATCTAAGGAAACGCTAGTATCCTTCTGTAGCCAACCATCTGTTATCATCAGTCCTCAGAAAAATGGTGAGATAGACTTGCTAGCAAGTGGCTCCGTGAAGGAATCTGAAAGTTATGGAAGTTTAACTGAAATCTCTTTACCATTGGCTGAGCTGATAGAGTCTCCAGACACTGACAGCAGGAATGAAGTAGTGACCCCTGAGGAGGACCGCAAAAGTGATCTTGTAGCTGAGGAGTCTTTGTCATTAGGACATAGTGGGAAATGGCGTTGCAACGGACTTTCCAGTCCCATTGCTAAGAAGCGTAGGAACAGCACCCGTGGAGATTTGGTTAAGCAAGCAGTGCTCGCAGAAAACACACCATTCCCTAGCTGTTCTTCACCCGCTGCAAGCAAACTTACAATTTGCAACACATTAAAGAGGACAAGCAGTAAAATCTCAGATGAAGTTATTAGCCTTTCACCAGGTACACCACCTTCTGCACTGAATAGTTCAAGTCACAGATGGATGACGTCTAGCTCTTCGGCAACAAAGCCGTCGCCCGGTAAACGTATGGCTGTGAAAAGGAATCATAGAGGAGAGACTTTGCTCCATATTGCTTCCATTAAGGTACGATGCCTACTCTGAAACACAGTCTTGGAATGAGCCCAACTGTAACGCGATTTTCTTTGGGGAGGGGTGGATATGAAAAATGACAAAACTAGGATAATTAACCCACCACAGACATGATACTTTTTCGAATCAGAGAAGCAAAATTCACAACGACTGTGCCTCTATCTCTGTTAGACCAGTGGCTGTGGGTCTGGGATGCATAGTCTTGTAGGAAAGAAACAGTATTCGATATTTGAATATTTCAGCTTCTACTTTGTCAGGTGCTTCTGCTTTTGTCTGTTTTGTTGTTCAGTTTCCATCATTTTGTTTACCTATGTTTTCTAAGTGAATATAGGCAGTTGCTAAGTTAGTGCTGGCAGCATATTTTTACCTAGCAAAAGCAGTAGGGGCTGTCTTAGGGGTCAGCCTTCTGGCACTGCCAGAATTTGGAAGGTTGAAAGAAGTGGTCTGTACATGTCTTCAAAGACCTGGACATTTGATTATCAGAAATGGCTCCTGCAGGTCACCACAAAGGAGCTGCGCTGTGCGCCACAGTCAGCCTTCCCTTTTACTGGCCCTTTCATTGAAATTAATTCTCTTTAATTATTGCTTCAACACCTGGGATGTGGCAGTGTTGTTTTTTGGAACCTAGCCCATTTTCCAAACACTTGCAGTGGTTAACCTTTGAAATTGAGACAAGTACTGTATATGAAACGGAGCAGTAAGCACCACAGCTTTGCAGACTTTTCTCTGTGATTTCATATATGTGTTATGAAAATATGATACAGTAGACCTCAGTACTAAATTAAGATAGCTTTTATGTGCTGTCAGTGACTTTGCATGGTACATTCATCCGGGAAATACTTGGGCCTTTCGGATGGATAGAGAACTTTGGGAAGTCTGGAAGGAACCCCTGGGAGAGCTCAAACATTAGAATGGTGGGCAACATAAAACAGTTGGGAAAAGCATGGGTAGACATTGAGTGTGGTACAAAGATTCCTGTATTTTTGTGTGAAGAAGGGGAAAAGCACAAAATGAACTTCTTATGACTGTTGGTGTATTTTTTTCCTTGCTTTTTTCCAAATTAATGTAGAATATAGTTGATCCTCTGTAGGGTTCTGCATTGATGAATTCAGCCAATTGTGGATCAAAAATATTCAGGAAAAAAATAACAATTTGTTTTAGGCATTACAAATAATCTAGCGATGATTTAAACCGTGGTCCCCAATGCTTTTGGCATCAGGGACTGATTTTGTGGAAGATCAGTTTCTGATGCCAAGAAGGGGCTGAAACCTGTAACATGACCACATGCTAGGGATCATGTATCCTTTAGACAGTTTAAATGTTTGGAGTTGATTCTGGTTTGATTTTAGTTTGATCCCTATAAAACATGATCTATGAAATCAGACTATTTTCTTGTCATCTCGTTATGTATCTGCATATTATGGCATATATGCTATTATAATTGTAACTTATAATGTTATTAATGCTTCATAGACATAAGTAGCTAGCATAATTATTTTTTGTTCTTTTTAAACTAAAACATAAGAATTTCTACATTTTGCTTTTTGAGAATTTGCACACTGTCAGAGAAGCTTTCACTTTTACTGGTAGATAATTTTTCTTCTATCTATAAGAATAGTTCATTAATAAGGATCCCTAGGACTTAGAGTCTAGTCCAGGGTCTGATAAACTCTTTTATTTTGAGACAGGGTCTTGCTATGTTGCCCAAGCTGGTCTCAAACTCCTGGGCTTATGCCATCCTCCTGCCTTGGCTTCCCAAAGTGCTGGAATTACAGACATGAACTATTACACTTGGTGATTAACTTTTTTTGCAGAGGGGTTGGAGTCTCACTCTGTCGCCCAGGCTGGAGTGCAGTGGCATGCTCCCAGTCACTGCAGCCTTGACCTGCTGGACCCCAGCGAGCCTTCCACCTCAGCCTTCCAAAAAATCCTTATATTTTTATAGCATAAAACTTGGTACTTCCTGTTATTTACTTTGGCTGCCTTAAAGGTCATCAAATCTAAATTTATTACACAGTTATAGCAACTCTTTTCTGGTTCTCTGTCTGCTTTTATAGTAACTTTAACTTTAGAGCCACTTTAAATCCTTTTCTGAAGTGGATGGGTATACAAAATAGAGGAATTGCAATACGTGGTTTTCTAGTACACACAGATTATTCGGTCTTGGCTGCAAATAAGAAAATTAGGATAGGAATGAAATGAAAACTATCTCTAAAAAAACAAGTCCACTGATAATTTTTCAAGCATTTGTCTGACTATTAAAAGCAAGCTGAAGTAGGGGGCATATACTCAACTCAACACATTTTTAAAAGAAGAGAACACTATTGTTAATTATGATTGAGAAAAACAATATCAATTAACTTTTCTTAAATGTAGCATAACAGAATCTGAGCACTGGTGACAATAATAGCATTTGATAATAACTACTTTCAAGGGAACCAAAACAGGTAATTCTAATTCTGGCAAGACTCTAAGTAAATTGACAATCTGACAAAACGTGTATGAAGCAAAATCGCATTATGCCACCGTTTTTTCCTGTCTTAACATTTCTTTATGGTTTTTTCCATGCTATAGACCAAGACTCACAGGCAAGCTGTAGCCTATGAATTAGCCACCTGACTTTGTATCTAAAGTTTTATTGATTTACATATTGTCTGTGGCGGCTTTTGTACTATGACAGCAGAGTTGAAAAGCTGTGATAGGGACGTCACGGCCTGCAAAGTTGAAAACGTTTACTCTAACTGTTCCTTTAAAATAGAGTTGATCTATCACGCCCAGTGGCTGTGGAAAATATATATGCCTATAATCCCAGCAAAAAGAAAAATAAGGATTTCGTGTGTGTGTGCGTGTTGTTGTTGTTGTAGTTGTTATTTTTCCCTAAAGCATATTGGTAGACTTGCAGGTTCTACAATTTCATTTGTTCTTCTCGGGTTTTAGGAGAGCATGGTTGCACTGTGCATACTTGGTGTACACACTGAGGACAGAGAACCCAGCAGTAGTTTGACTACTCTCTTGGGCTAGTTAGCTTTCCCTGCTGCACGTAGGACTTTACCTCTGCATGAATGATCTCTGAACTTGGGAACGTTATTAGTAACATTTTTTAATATCTTTCCCTCAACCTACCTCAGAATCATTGTTGGCCATAACCTTCTGTAGCTACCCCTCTAGTGGCACCTACTTATCTTTGCTTGCCCTGACCACTAGCACTAGTTTGCTAATGCTGTTGAAACCAGTCACCACAAAGTTAGTGACTTAAAACAATGCAAGATAATTTTCTTACAGTTCTGTAAGTCTGAAGACTGGTATGGGTCTCACGAGACAAATCAGTTTGTCAGCTGTTACTTTCTGGAGGCTCTCGTGAAGGATCCGTTTCCTTGTTCCTCCTCTGTGTTGTTGACAGGAACTGCTTAGTTCTTAGGCTAAGACCGAGATCCGGTTTTCTTGCTGGCTTTCAGATGAGGGCCACTCTCAGGTTCTAGAGATTGTCACATTCTTTAGTTTGTGGCCCTCTTCAAATCCAGCAACAGCAGGTCGAGTCCTTCTCACATCTCTGACTCAGTCAGGGAAGGCTCTTCTGCTTTTAAGTTACAATTAAATTGGGGCCACCTGGAAAATATGAGCAATCTTCCCATGTGAAGATACATATATTTAATCTGTTGCAAATTTCCTTTTACCATGTAAACTAATCCTCTATTAAGTCACCTTTGTTTGACAATTTGTAGATACAGGAATATCCCTTTGCCCAAGTTCTCTAGCACAAATTCTTCAAATGGCAATGATTGCTCATAATTTATGCCACAGCAATGACTTACTGTAAGATAGAACAATGGCTTGAACCTGGCATGCCATGATATATTTGTGATGCAGACATAATAGGTAATATTTTGAAGGTAACTTGCAAGGCATGGTATGCTTATAACATAACAAATGTGGTGAAGATCCCTTGGGGAGAGAGAAAAATCTCTTGTGAGGAGTCTCCTTCAGAGTTTGACTTTGTAATTGATTATACTTTAAGGCTGTCATGTTCTCCTGTGTGTGAAGTCATTATTTTGTTTCCCTCATACTAGCTTATGAGAAGGTAGCAAAGGACACAAAAGCAACGTGATATCTCTGATATTTTTAAGATTTTAATATCTAGAACATCTCTTGGAGTTAGTGACCATTTTTCTTCTGTCACCCATCACCTAAGTATGCCTCTGCTGTTGTAATACCAATAACTTCCTGTACTGTTGACTAGATTGTCAGAATTGTCTGTTAAATTACAGGCATGTCTCATTGTATTGTATGTTGCTGTATTGCTTTTTGCAGATACTGAGTTTTTCTTACAAATTGAAGGTTTGTGACAAACCTCCCTCTAGTAAATTTGTTGGCACCATTTTTCCAATAGCATGTGCTCACTTCATTTCTCCGTGTCATGTTTTAGTAATTCTCACAGCATTTCAATTTTTTTATTATTATTTTATCCGTTATGGTAATCTGAGATCTATGATCTTTGATGTTACTATTGTAATTGGGAGTGTCACGAACCCCACCTATATAATATGGTGAACTTAATTAATAAATGTGTTCTGACTTCTCCACAGGCTGGCCATTCCTTTATTTCTGTCCTTCCTTTCAGGCCTCTCTATTTATTGAGACACAGCAATATTGAAATTAGGTTAATTAATAACTCTACAATGACCTCTAAGTGTTCAAGTGAAAGGAAGAGTTACACATTTCTCATATTAAATCAAAAGCTAGAAATGATTAAATTTCGTGAGAAAGGCATGTTGAAAACTGATAAACCAAAAGCTAGGCCTCTTGTGCTAACTAGTTAGCCAAGTTGTGAAAGCAAAGGAAAAGTTCTTGAAGGAGGTTAAAAGTGCTGTTCCAGTGAATACACAAATGATGGGAAAGTGAAACCACATTATTGCTAGTATGGAGAAAGTTTTATTGGTCTGGAGAGAAGATTGAGCCAGCTACAACATTCCCTTAAGCTAGAGCCTAATCCAGAG